GATGGGACCAGTGGCCATGATCTTAGTTTTTTTGATGTTGAGCTTCAGACCATTTTTACACTCTCCTCTTTCACCCTCATTAAGAGGTTCTTTAATTCTTCCTCATTTTCTGCCATCAGAGGGGTATCATCTGCATATCTGAGGTTGTTGATATTTCCTCCGGCCATTTTAATTCCGTCTCCAGATTCATCCAGTCTGGCCTTCCGCATGATGTATTCTGCATGTAAGTTAAATAAGCAGGGAAACAATATACAGCCTTGTTGTACTCCTTGCCCAATTTTGAACCAAGTTGTTCCATATCCAGTTCTAATTGTTGCTTCCTGCCCCACATAAAGATTTCTCAGGAGATATATAAGGTGGTCAGGCACTCCCATTTCTTTAAGAACTTGCCATAGTTTGTTGTGGTCGACACAGTCAAAGGCTTTTGCATAGTCAATGAAGCAGAAGTAGTTGTTTTTCTGGAACTCTCTGGCTTTCTCCGTAATCCAGCGCATGTTACTCAAATTAGCATACACTTACTTTCCCTAGGTTATTTCAAAAATTATTTTCCTGCAAAAAAATAATTAACAAATCTTTGGCAAAGACTTGAAACAGTGAGAAAAGAAGCAGAGCCAGGATACATCAATCCTTTAACCTCTGGATGTGGCTAAACGTCAGGGCCAGACTTTCTAAAGTGTGAGCAAGTAAAACTGTTACAAAAATGTTACCACCCAGTATATTTTACCAGATGTGTGGCTGCTACTGCAACATCAGATCAAGAAGAGAACAACTGTAAGAAGAAGTGATGGGAATGGTATTCTTCACAAGTTCCCTGTAATTGTGTGGTGGAATCAGAGGTTGCAGGGTCAAAGTGCTGAAGCCAGACTTTCTAAAGTGTGAGCAAGTAAAACTGTTACAAAAATGTTACCACCCAGTATATTTTACCAGATGTGTGGCTGCTACTGCAACATCAGATCAAGAAGAGAACAACTGTAAGAAGAAGTGATGGGAATGGTATTCTTCACAAGTTCCCTGTAATTGTGTGGTGGAATCAGAGGTTGCAGGGTCAAAGTGCTGGATGTTTATGATGATGATGATGATGAGTGGACAATCTGTCAGGGATATAGCTCAAGCATCCTTTTCACCTTTACATTTAGCTAGAATCCTCACTAGTAAAGGGAGAGGGGATTTATCTATCAGCAATATGTGATGCGGCAGTATTTTGAGGTGACTTGGGTTTCAATAGGCAACTAAGAGCCACTAGCTTTACAAAAGACCTGCTCTTGGTCAAGATGAAAACTGAAAGAATTGGTTTGTTGCCTACATTTTTAGAAGCTCCTTGGAGGTATGACTATAGAAACAGTTATGATGAATGCCTCTGCCCCAAAACCTACCACCACCACCCCACGGACTCCCTGATCACTGCTTCTCTTTTATATACCTGAAATGTTTTATCTACTCCACCTGAGCTTTCATGCTTCTGTTTATATTATTGAACTTTGTTGGGCATATATACTCCTGCCAGAGGTGCAAAGAAAAAGGAATCTGAGTGTACACAATGTAATGTCCCTGGACAGTTGAGCCCCAGTACGCCTTACTTTAGAAATACAGGACAAATGTTTGTAAGGATCTTCTCAAAGTAGACAAACAGACAAAGTTTTGAATGAGCTGTTCAAAGCCTGGAATAGTAAATGCCATGTAAATTGTACAGGATGCCAAGAAGCACTTCCTCTTCTTTTGCAAGCCAATACATTTAGTGTGGGTTTGCGAGCAGAAAGATAAATCTGAGTCATTTTAACATGCATTGTGAAAGAGCAGGATCTCACCCCACTCCCAATGCATCCATGAGTGGCTGCACAAAGAATTTGAAGATCTAAGCCTAATAATTAAAAGCAAGAATTGGGGCATGCTGTACAGTAGCTGAACAGTTTTGGCATTCCCCCAAGAGTATTAACCATGGCTCTTGATTCTTTCCCATCATAAATTCCTGTTCTCCTTCACCAATAACAATCTTAATAAAGGAAAAGAGGGTGTTGGGGGGACAGATTTTCCCCCCATATGGCCCAAGAATATCTGTGTGAGCCAAAGGAAAAGCAAACACATGCCTGGTTATTGACGGATTCATTTTTAACCAGTACAGAAACTATTATCAACAGCTCACATGAGTACAGTTGTTGAGACCAGCCCAAGGGGACAGAAGCAATGAGAGATCAGGTTGTTCAGAATAAACAGTTAAAACAGGAATAGATTTTGATTTGAGAATCTATTCCAACGCCAAGATTCAAATGCAACACATGACATGGTGAATTTGGGTATGTAAAGCTAGTGGATGAAGCCACGCTGATTAACAGGAGTCTGAGATCTTCTGCTTAATAGGCCTGGAATAATTCTCCCCTCCCCTGCATTTCTTTCAAAAAGCACTTTCTAACTTCTAGGTCTAGCGCTTTTTCTTGATTACTTGTTCAAAGCAGATGAGCTTAAAGTCTTCCCCATTGTTCTTTTAGAAGGATGTCAGAGAACAGAATGTCTAAAGCAAAAAGAAGAAGCAAAAGCAAAAGCCTCTTAGCTCTGATAAAGAAAATGGGATTCAGTTCACAAATGCATAAGATGAAGCCTCATTGATGCTATAAACAAACACAAATCCCTGTTGTAAAGACTGTGCATTGACAGTAGGCTGCCTTATTGGGCCCCAGATCATGCTTCCAGGCATCATGTCTGATGGCTCAGTATCTTCCTTGGCTGCTGTGGGATTTCTCCCTGAAAACTAACTTTAGGACTCAGCCAGATGCTACCCAGAACTAAGCATCATCCAGCTCCAAACCAAGTTCAGGTGGCCATTTATGGGCTACTGAACAGGCAACTCCAAGGTGGGATTAGCTAGCATAAAAATGCATACAATGCAGAAAGAAAACCAGAAATGAGGTTTATAATTTGATTAGAAGTTGTCATTTGAACAAGACTATAACGTAGCTCACTTAAGCAGAGCAGGCAGTAATGGCATGAGCTGCATGCAGGCTGCTGTCCAGGTGCTTCTGACTGCCAGGGGAGGGAACGAAGGCCTCTGATCTCCCTCCTTCTAGTTCTCCCCACCCCCTTTAAAGCACACCTTACCCAGGCTGCCTTTCACATGGAACACACCTTCCCAAGAAAGGTGGTCCTTCTGCAGTCCTTCTGATGGTGAATCACACCCTTTAAAGTGAAACATATGGCTGTCCTTCTTTGGGCCAACCAGAATGAGGTAACAAGATGCTGGAGAACTGAGTTGTGTGCCACTGCCCACAGAAATTGTGGGAAATGCAGCGTGGAAATCAGATTCCATCTCTGGTCTCACTGGACCCTGTTCAAGAAACAGGAATAGAGCACCACTTTTTTCTTTGCCTCAGTCAGCAAAATGTCTTGGGGGAGCACCTCTAGGCAAATAGCCTCTCACATCCTGAATATTCCTAAATGTAAGCAGTTTGCAGCCACCAGATGAGAAAAATGCTGGTGCTGTGTGGCTAATATTTGCAGCAGTTTTGATTACCTAGACTATATTTGCACAGCGCTTGGGTCACCTTGGTGTTCTCTCACTTCCATAGCAGCTGCTGTTCTCACCGTAAAGCTATTACCCCAAATTTATCCTTGGCATATTGTATGCACTTTGGAAAAGTTACTGCTTCAGAAGGCAACTTGGGCTTCAGTGACTTCTACCTCCATTGATTAATAAGAGGAAACAGCATGGGGTATAGCATGCAACAAATAAAACAAAATATTCTCCAGAGCTTGGAAATTTTACTTTTTGGACTGCAAACACTCCCCCCCAATCATCTCCTACCCAACGGGCCAAAAAAGTTATGGTCCTAGCTTTTATACTTGCACTTTAAAGTGTTCGGTCCAGTTCTTAGTCCCAACTAAATCAAACTCAGTGGCTGAAATCCATGGGTGCAGCAGTGATGGTGTCACCAGCAGTGACCCATAGCTGCTGATCAATGGCTTCCTTTGGAGGATTTGGGTGTGTGCGTGTTCCATGACCTGCATCACATTTTGTACAATGCGCATGGGCTCTGAAATTGCCTTAGATCAGAGTGATTTGCCACTTGGGATGATGACACTCCTTTTCCACAACAGGATATCAGCCACTGAATGAACAGGACTTGGGTAGATCAAAATTTCAGTAAGTCTTTAAATTCAACAGGTCTCCTGTTGTTGCCGTTGTTATGTGCCATCGAGTCACCTCCGACTTATGCCAACCCTAGGAATGAGCCATCTCCAAAAGGTCCCACCCTCAACAGCCCTACTCAGCTCTTGCAAACCCCAGCCTGTGGCTTCCTTTTGAGGGCCAGCCCATCTTGTATTTGATCTTCCCCTTTTCCTGCTGCCAAGTCCTCCTGTAGCAGGGACTAACTACTGGATTGGACCTCAAATGGATTTAGGAGAAATGTTGGGGAGATGCTTTCCTTGGAGAACCTGAGGTGGGATTGACTTCTCTCTTGAAAGCTGAGCCATTCCATCTACGCCTTTGCCCCTCAGCCACCCTTTGCATAACAACCTCGAGTTTATTTACTGCTCAGCCAAAGGAAGTCCCATATCGGCAAAGAACAATGGCCGGAATTCCTTTATCTGTGACTACTGCTACTGCTCAGGCCCCTTCCCGTCTCCTAAGTATACACAAAGGCCCCCTTTTTCCTTTTGTTGAGGCAGCAACCCCAGCTTTTAAATATGTATGTAGTATTATTTAAGGTCTGGCCCCAGCAGGATTTAAGAACGACTTCCCCTTCTTGATTCTTTTGGTGTTCAAGGTGAAAAGTTAACAATAAAGAATAAGGAAAAATGAATCACTGGTCTTTGCCCTTCATAGTAAATTTGACCTTCATAGGTTTTGGTTGTTGTTTCTTTTTCTGTTTTCTTTTTTTAATGTTACACTCAGGTTTCTAATCTAATAAGGGAAATGCATCAGCAGATGGATTATTCTTCTGCAATACATCTAATTGCTACTCTCTTGACATTGCCTTTATTTTTTTTTCCTTTGTCTGATTCTACAGGTGAAATAAATAAAGAAAAAATGAACAAAAGAAAGAAGAACAAACAAATGAATGAATGAACGAACCCAGAGTTAACAAATCCCCAAAAGTGTGTGCTTAGGCTCTGACAGGGGAGGAGAAAGCTTACCCTTCCAAATGATACCAGAATGTTACGGCCCATATTCCTCAACACTGGCTATGCTAGCTAAGGCTGATCATTTATCCTAGCAGATGCCATGTGCGCTTACTGCCCAAGCTCAAAGCTATAATAAATGAGTAAGTCTAGGGACCCTCATCCACTTTCTTATGATTGTTATGCAAATGTGAATTCTTGCTGTAATGATAAAGTCTCTCTCTCTTCATCACCCCTTAAATTAACTTTAACAGGAAAGAAAAGCTCGATGTGTGTTTTACACAGAGATGGTCCCAGGCTGACTTGTCAGCATCTCCGGGTACAGTGGGAAAGATGTGTGTATGAAAACCTGGAGAAAAATGTGGGTGGGAGGGTACGTAGGGGTGCTCACCCTTCCAGAATGTTCAATTTAGTTATTATTTCAATGTATGAAGACAGTGGCATGCTAACACAGAAGATGTGATCTTCAACTCTCTCATTCCTATGGACAGTTTTGCCTTGAGATCCATAACTAGGGATTCGAAGCCAGGTCTCCTAAGTCCTAGTTGGCCGACCTGTCCACTAATATGGTGCATTTCATGCAGGCTTGCAGCACATAGATTAACAACTCCCCCACCAGCTGACCAATAACAGGGCCTCTGAGCAGGAGTGGTGACCAGTAGCAAAGTGCCCTCTGGGGATCCCATCCTGCTTAGGTGGGCCTTCCCTTGCAGCTGGTCATAGCTACAAGGGAGGAGTCATCTTTTAAAAGTTCCCACTAGTTGCCCAAGTCCCTGATGCAGCATCATTCCAGAGCTTCATGGGTCAATCAAAAAGGGCATCTGAAAGTTCCCTGAGCCCAAGGATCTGGGGGAGAAAACAGGGCCAGAGGGCCTGAGAGGACATGGTAGCCTTTGAAAGATGCCCAAGAATGCCACAGCCTGAGACGTGGGTAGGGCTAGGGGGTGGCCCCTTGGGCAGTCACCAAAAGAGACTTTCAGATGCATCCCCAAAGGGAGAGGAAAGCAGAGACAAACCATGTCAACTCCTTGGATGCAACCAGAGAAATTATTTTTGGAATGCAAACAGAACTACACTATACCTCACCTGAGCAGGCAGACTGTGACCAGGTGAACTCTCTGCCTCCTGACTCTGCTTTCCAGGTTTTAGCTGCCAACGGGCAGCCTCAGGGACTTTAACCTCCCTTTCATAACCATTCTTTCTCTGTTCATCAGAGGGGGACTGGAGAGCCCATCCCAGGGAAGGCGCCTTAGAAAAGAAGGTCGCTCCCTGTCCACTTTTTCACAGAGAGGGTAGCCCTCTGTCAAAGAGGACCCACGGTGACCTTCCATGGAGCACGTCTCAGGGACTGAAGAGACGACCTGACTTGGGAGGCTGGAACTCTACCGGTGGAGAAGCTGCTGTGCTCTGCGTTCTGGCATCAAACCCTGGGAAGAAACTGAGGAGGAACAAACCCAACGATAAAAAGGATCGAGTAACAGTTCCTTTTGAAAACAAAGGCCTGTTGACTCAAAAGAGCCCGAGATACACAGAGCGATAAGAGCAGCACCCTGGAGCTGACTTCCAACTCCGACCAAAGCGGTGGTTTGCAGGCGTCGTACAGAAAACAAGAGGAGGCAGGCTGGGCTCCACACGGCTTGCCCAAAATGTGGTTCCCAGTTTCAAAGCCACCGAGTGAGTGACGTTTGTATTCCCTGGCCACATATTATGGGAGTCTCAAAACTTGGCAGCAGCAGCTGAAGCTCAGCAGCTGGAGGTCCCGGGCCACTTATTTACGGCCCCCTGATCGGCAGACTCTGCCAGATGTTCCATTCCTAAATTATGCAGATTGCATTCGCTTCTCTCATTTGCATGAGCCGTCACTAAATCCAGATGACAAGACATTTTAATTGGAAGCAGAAAGCGAGCTTGATGTTGTACCTAATCCAGAGCAGTAATTCTTTACTAAATTAAGTAACTACGCTGAACAAAAAGGCGTGGGATAACCTGTCTATGAGCATTGGGCATAATCTTGAGGCAGATATTGAACTTGAGAAAGAGGACCCTAGACTATGGTCCCTTTTCTGAGGAGCCCTACCAAACCCGAGACTATCATTTGCTAATTAAAATACACCAGTGTTTGCCTTGCTGGTGGAGACAGGATTTAGTTACATCCCTGAAGATGGATGGGATTTTTTGAACTATCAATCCCATAATGTTCCCTTCTGGGAGTTCTGCCTGACTTACACATGTGTTACAGGTACTTAAGTGTGGCTCACATGGGAGAAAGGTCTAAATTGGAAGGCTTGGAGACTGAGCTAGGCCTAGCTCAACTTAACTTCCTGTTCAGAAAGAAAGCACCCAACTGGTTTAAGTGGAGCTAAGCCTCAAAGCCTTCCGGTGCTCTAGGGGCAGCATAGTACTAGTCTCCTGTCTAAAAGGAGAAGGTGGTAAGAAGTGTTTTTTTTAAGGGGGGGAGGTGTCTACCAGCAGCATCAAGAGATGTTCTCTGACATGGAGGGGGCAGAGGAGAAGACCGACTTCTGGATTATGAAGGGGAAGAAGAGAAAGTACACCAGTTCGTGCCAGGAATGAAAATTCACCTGCTACCTTAGGAAAGGAAGAGAAGATGAAGGCTGGGCCAAACATGTATACCCCTGGACAATCACCCTGAGACCATAGACGATCTGTGATTACACATCAGTTACTGGCGAAAGGAATGAGTTTGCAGCTAGGTTCTTCCACATTCTGCTGAATTCATTTCAAGTTCCTGCTCCCATCTTTTTGAGATCGTTGGGTAGGACACCTTCATACTTTCTAAAGTACTGATTCTGGACTATTGTCAGCTTTCCTTGGATGGGCATGGTTCCCTTTATTGTTGGTTTTCTTAAAAACTGAGTGTTAATTCATTGGTTTGCCTATTATGTTCCAAATGCTTTTGTTTAAAGCTGCATTTCATTCCCATTTGCAGCCTGATTTTTGATGACATGACACAATATGAATTTAATAAATATCAACATAATCAGTTTGAAATCAACTTGATAGTTACAAAACAAAATTCTAAGAGAGCCTGAATAGTATATCCCCCTTTTCACTGCAGTGGTAGATGCAGCATCAATGTAGCTAAATTTGTTGCTCGAATTCCGAAATTAAGGAACCCCGAGATACTTCCGGCAAGAGGGAAGTGAATGTTTGGGCCCAAAGGCCCTGCGGATTTGCTAATTCTGTTTCACTACCAACAAGGATGTTCCTGCACTCCCTGGATCATCCTCTGGTCTTTTAAAAAGGCCCTAGACGTAAACAAGAAATGGACTCTGAGACACAAAGCTTTAACCTTGGCAGATGCTGAAGAAGAAATCGGTTGAAGAAAACAAGAAATTAGCTTTGGATCTTTCATTCAGTTGGTGGAAGAGAACTGAAAGGCAATCAAAATGGCTTTTGGAATGAATCCCACAACCAAAGTGATTATTATTTTTTTTACTCGTTACGCTTCTTGTTCAATACACAATACGCATTGTCACTTCACGGAAATTAGGACACTGTGTTGTGTTTGTGGGCAAAGAATGCGACAACGGGGGGAGGACGGCATCCAGAAATCAACCCAAGGAGAGTTAATATAGCCTCATCTAATCAGTGTTTTGCACACATGGCATCCACACATTTTTTGTTAAGAAAATTCTTCCGAGGCATTGTTTTAAAACCAGGTCAGTCTCTGTTCGCCATTGCAGCAAAATGCCCTATAGCTGGCACGTGTGCTTTGTTTTAGCTGAAGCAGCCTACGGCTGTCAACAAATTAAGAGGCAATGACCATCTCACAAACATCTGGGGTTTAATAAATCCATGTCAAAATTTTGTGTGCTGAATAAGCGTTTCAGTGTCAAACACAAAGGAGCTAAATGTACAGCCACATCACTGAGTTGTACATTGTCAAATGCTAAATTTTAACTGTTGGAGGCTAATAGAATTTACCAGACAAGGGTTTCTCTTCCTCTTGAGTGAAAAAATTGAATAGAGTAGCGAGGACTGTTGTGATTTCACAGTTATTCCTACTTCCTACTATTTAAGACACAGAACAATGCTATTAAATGGCAAACATAAAGCAGTGTTGAGGATAACAAATGTATCTTACAGAGACTCAGCCTGCTATGTCGCCTGCATTTTTTATTTTGTATTTTTGTATTTTCATACATAGCTGTTTCTCCCACCTTGGCCGCCTTGCACTGGTTACCTTTCGCTTCCATGCCAACTTCAAGGGAATGGTGTTAACCTATGAGGCCTTAAATAGTTTAGGACCTCAATATCTGGCAGAACGCCTCTTTCTGATCAGAACTGCCCACCCTGTAAGATCTTCCCAGGCTGGGTGGTTGAGAGTTCTGACCCCGAGAGAGGCCTAAAAAAGTCAACCAGAAATTGGGCCTTCTTGGTGGTCGCCCTGCAAATGTGGAACAGTTTCCTGCCCAAAATTCACCTTGGCCCTTTCATTGGGAACGTTCAAAAGATTATGGAAAATGTGGCTATTCAGACAGATCTAATTGGATTTTAAAACACCCAGATACAATAATGCCTTCAGTAACTAACCATTTTCTTTTGTTATGCTTTTATTGAGGTTTTTAGTAGAATTTGTCTAGTACCTTTTATATTTTATTTGGATATTGTTGATTGCTCTTGTTACTATGTTGTTGTTTTATCCTGTTTGTAAACTGCCCAGAGTGGCCTTGGCAGCCAGATGGGCGGTATAAAAATCAAATAAATAAATATCCCTGCTTTTTAATTTCAGTTAATTCCCTCTAGCAAGGAACGGTGACCCACAGGAATCAACTTGAAAGTTCTGAATTACAGTAAATGATGTGATGTTCCAAACACAAGGAATTAACTGAACACCTTGCATTTCATCCCAAGATTGCTCTTACAGGTTTCTGTGGCACGTCAAATAAAAACAAGTGTTCTACAAAAAAAAGGAATCCATTTCTTCCACCACAACTCCCCACGTTGCATCCAAAAGCCACAGTGCATTCCATGCTGAAATAAATGTGTTCTGAAAAGTGCCAAAGTACTTTGTTTCTGCTTTTAGTCCAGAACAGATGAACACAGCTATCTCTCTGAAAAGAACACTCGGCTTGCAATTTGAAGCTTCAGGCTTTCAAATGGTCCCAAAAACTCAATCCTGCAAATTCATGTGGATTCTTTCCTCCCTTTCCTACATCTTTCAAACAGAACATACACACAAAATCAAAACCACTGCTTATGAGCCACCCACTTGAGCTAAAATTGATCCCGCCCATGGACTTCAGTTGTAATGCAGGGCTCTATATCTGCTGAATTCAGCCTTGCAGCTGAG